TTTATGACCCATTTTGTACACAATCGAATGTGTTATGATTTTGGAATTCCAAAGCAGGAATTCAACAATGATACATTTATTGAAGAATACATTAACGATCTCAGCCAAGATTATTCTGTTATGTTGGTTCTCGAGTATTTACCGGAGTCATTAGTTCTTATGAAGCGGAAATTGTGCTGGAGTACAAAAGATATTTTATATGTTCCTTTGAATGCTCTGAAGAAACAATTGAACTTTGAGTTGAACAATGATGACATTGAGCGCCTTAAACAATGGAACAGCGCTGATTTTAAGTTGTATGAACACTTTGTGTGTCAATTAAAGGACAGAATCGGCTCCATTGGTGATGATTTTGACCAGGAAGTTGAATACTTTAAGTCAGTACAAAAACAAGTGCAAACGTTTTGCAAGGACACTATATCCAATAAAAGGAATACGTCCGTAATTTTCATACCAAAATCTAATTGGGAGGACAAATTTATGGTTACAAACACAGATTGTGCTTTGATGATGGAACTTGAAAAACCAATGATGAAAAGATTAATAGAAAATGCATGGTCAAGATATAATGCGTCACTAACACATGAAAGATAATTTAAGAATATCGGAATGTTCATCAAAACTTTGTGTTTTTTGTCCCTTTATTGTTGATAAAATCATAAATGTTTCTTTCGTTAAGCATGCATTGTTACAGGTCGAGGATTCGAATCCCGTCTGGGTCATACTAAAACTCCTAGCCGCTGCCCATCGTGTTCGTTACTCCTTTTAGAGGTGATATTTTTAAAATATCAAAGAACAACAAGGGCGATTGACGTTTACGGAACGCAGCTTTCCGACAATATCCTGATGTACACAGGTACCCTGTGAGACACCATAAAGAAAGTAAGACAGCAAAGTAGAAAGGGCATAATAAGCGGGCGGTAGAAGCCAAATTCTATACTTGTCAGTTCCAGAATGGTGAACCACATCGATCTATCAATGGCGTAGCAGCGCTGAAGTATCTGTCTTTCACTGTCATTGATTTTATGTGTTTTCTTTATATCATGCACCACCCCTGGCCTCCATTTTTAGGCTCATTCCCCAAATCGTATCCCTCATAATGTTTCCTCTTCATTACAGCTTATGAAAACTGTTTTAACATATATGCTATAATAATATTTTGTAACACGTGTAAAAGAGTTTGACAATGCATTAATCTGTTTGTTTTACTTATTTTCACATTTTGTCAAGCATATGCATTGAATATTTGTCACTTTTGTAAAATACGTGTTGTTTTCACGTCGATTGCACATTTTCGTTCATATCTCGGTGTCCGGTTCACCAAATTTTCTGGAGAACAAACCAGTAATTTCTCCGCAAGTGACTGACATCAATCGCACATGAATTCTAAATCAGCAATGAGTTACAAATGACCATTACTAAATGCCCGAAATCAATTGTCACAGAGAAATTACGCCTAGTCTGAGATACAATGTTATCATTCTACAAAGCGGTAGACTACATGTTTATCGACTTTGTCACTCATATAATAAACGGTACAACTTGACGAATTACTAGATTTTGCCTACGTTTTGAGTAGTGTATAAGTGATTTGATTTATGTAAGCAAACGCATGATACGAGCTCGTAGACATAACGTGTTTTTGTTAAAGCTCAATTCCTTATTAAACAAGGGAACTATATGCTTTATATGCATGGTTTCGTTGCGAGATGAGATATATTCTTTCTGATTTCTATCAATTCTATTTCTTCATTAAGAAGATAATTAAAGAACAAGATTGGCATTTTTACTTATGAGGAAATCATTTTTGTTAGAGCAAAGTTAGAGACATATTGTTATAACGCCTGTGCTTAAATTAATGTCTCTAATAAGTTACGATCAGTTATACCAATCATGTCTTGAACAATCGAATGTATTTCCGGCATAGACAACTATATCATGCCCGTATGTTTTAAACAAGATTTACATAATTATCTTATGTTAAGAGTGCACTAAATCACTTGCAATAAATGCAAGTGGCTCAATATCCAGTGGCTCAATATCCGACCACTTCTTACGTATCACATTATAATCAGAACCGTTCACTTTTCTAGAGTAACATATGCAAAATGGAAAGGTACTCATTTCTACCTTCCTTCTTTGCTACATCGTTACTGAATATTCAAGTTAAATTGGTCGTATTGTATAACAAACTTATCAATCTACAAATATTCTTAGATTACATTACAACTTCCTTATGCAAAGGTATGCCTGGTGAACGTTAAAAGCTTATTTTTTGCAAAGGAATTTTGCTTTTTCACATACAGATACAGGACAATCTGATCCTCACAGAACTATCAACTTACTAGATGTAAGCTGGTTACAAATTAAGTTTTATCAAAATTGCCACAAAATCTAACAACCACCAAATATATATAATAACATATATTTAATATGATTGATCAATTGAAACTATTTTGACCAAGAAAGAAGAACTATTTTTATTCACATACTACATTTTACCACAAAGTTCAAACAAAACCCCAAAACAAATGCGATGCTTCAAGATATAACTTATATTTAAAAGAATTGTTGCTGTTTTATATCTGATATATCTCATTAAAATTCCCTGCTTAAAATGAATACAATATATATTCTTGATAATATTACTGCTAGTTTGCTATACAGTTTTAAATGTCTATGGTTAACTGCTGTTTACATTACAAATATAACGTCTCCTACATCTGTTATACCATAGATATCCCATGCGCGCTCATTTCTTTGTCAATTATCCAGGCCAATTAGTGACACAAATGATAAATTGTTGCATTTTCATATCCAAATTGAGGCTATTTATTAGACAGTCTGGTACAACTAAGAGATGATGTTCATCTTGTAGATAATACAGTCTGATTGCTTGATAGAAATAATCTAGTAGTCCAGGTTAAATATCCTAAATGACGTTTCTTTGTGCTACAGTACAATCATTTACTTATTGACGAATGGAAATGGCAAATTATGTCTCTTTCCTTATCAGTCAGTAAAACGTAAATATACCAGATAACATATGATTTAAAACACGATCTTGTCCAGGTTATTTGCATTATAACATTAAAATCTAGTGAAACAGAAGAAATCTTTAATACAATGTTAAATATCCAACAACAGGACGGTGTGATTAAATGTTTTTTTTTATGAAAATATAGTACCCAATTTCAATTAACTTCTTAGACTAACATTTGTTTAATACTGATTTTGTTTTACTTTAACAAAATATTTCATGTGCAATAAACAAATGAAGTTTTCAATTAGAAAACGATGATTTATGCCAGGAACATGCACATAAGCATAATCACGTGTCATTTGTTTTCGGTAGCATTGAGTCACCGCTGATGGTCATAGCCAAGACTTAAATAGTTATTTTGCCTTTTTTTACGTCACGTCTTTCATTATTTGAATAATTAACATATTTCATGTTCCAGGCAAAACTATTTGCCGATTTTAATGGCACATAACTTTCCATTATTGCTTTTTAACATATCACATTATGCTGGTAGGAAGTCTTCTATGCGGCAATATTTTGATGAAAATATGCGGTAACATGCCTTTTACTTCTGCAAATGTTAAAGCAGCATGCTTGCATATTCATGCTTATTTTCATGGAGTTTAAAAGATATTTTCAAGTGACTAAAGAAAGTGATTTACATATTTCAAAAGACACTTTCAATCAATGAAAATAAATTGCCAAATCAAGGTCAAAATATCTAAATATTGCCCAAACTACGTTAGTCGCAGAATAAGCATATGATGATAAGACTGAAAAAAATCAGTCATTCTTAGCATATAACATGTACATTATTACTTGAATTATAAATATATTTTTTGTACTTTTCTTGTTATGTTAATACATTTTTCTCAAAGTCGATGGTTTTATGTTTTCATAAACATCTGGAGCCACGCAACTTTAATGCACGAAAGGTTCTTCTAAAATTAAGAGTTCTTCAATTCAACTGATACAATCTTGTCTCTCCTCCGCAGAGACTTTGGTGATAAATTACTTTCTATAACTAAAAGATTCATGTTTGTCAAGAACAAATCGTCATTAATCAGTGTAATAGCCAAAAAGACATAGCAGTAATGATACTGTCGAAACTTGTACGGAATGTAAATGTATAAAGGTACAATCATTCGAGTAATACGTAGAATTTTCCTTAGTCACTGATCTTGGAAATAGATCGAACTGAATAAGCTACAAAATCACTTAGAATTTCAAAATAATAACTTTAGATAATCAAATGAATTCAGTTATATATAATTATTTTTAGAATGTCTTGAAGCAGTATCTCGTCTAGATGTGTATGTCCTTGATAGTTTTTGGCCAACTGCAAAACAAAATAGATATGTTTGCTCTGACATGAAATATTGTATTTAAAATTTTGCATGCATATGATAAATATGCTTTGGGGAACCTTTCTGAATATTCTCATTGATTTAGACATTGTTTTGTAAACAGCAGTCAAACAGACTCCTGTCTTATTAATGTATAGTTTCTTATAACTGTTACTGTGCTATAATAATAATCAAATGGATAAACATACGGCGTTTCTGTAAATCAATTTATGTTTAAAACCTACATCATAGTTATTTATTGAATTACGTACGGAAATATTGAATTATGTCAATTATCTTTCTTTTTCTTATTAAATTGTCATGCTCAATAATCTTATGATATATAAACAAAGGGTAATAAATAACATAAAAGGAGAAAAATACTTAAAAATGAAATTTACAAACAAAGGGGAATTACAGATGACGTGAACAAACTTCAAGCTTCCAAAACATGCAGTCTCTTTAGATGGTACGAATGTATCTATCACTCAACACCCTGAACCGTTATAACTTGTAAAAAACCAATCAGATATTACAAAAACAAAAAAAATGTTCATTTAATGTTTTTTCTTGGAAGTGTTTTTTTATGTTAAACAGAAAACTAATAGAGATGTAAGCAAATGACATGTTTGAGCGTGTGTGTCTTTCATATTGGCAGATATCATCTTTAAAATATATTTGAACGAGAAAAACTATCAAATTGGAAAACGGATTATTGATTAAGAATTTACTGTTATAGAAAGGAAGTATTGGATATAAACTTTTGCAAAAGAATTTTTTTATTCTTTTTTCCAAAATCTTTGTTTAGTGTAATGTATTCACGCTAAAAGCAGTATTTTCTTTAATTTTATAAAACAGTTCTTTCCAGTATCCATACATATTTTATTGAAAGATGTAACGTATTGATTTGGTAATAACAGAAATGCATTAGCATATCTTTAAACAACACGGAAGCTTTTAACTTGTCGGAAACGTTACAACCATTAAAACTTTTATCTTATAACATTTTCATGCCTTTCATAATGTGTATTTCCAATTTAAGCTACAAAGGCTAATGTCCATGTAATTCATGATGTTATACTGCTAAACAATCCGTTATGTAAATATAACAAATACAGCGATATCTAAAATGACTTGTTCGAACTGTAAATCTGCTTAAAGGAGAATATGGGAAAAACAACTAAATGATTAAGCAACAACCGACCTAATCAAACTTTCGTTTTGTGTACACATCCTTGCAATTAATAAAGGGATGCCAAAACAAACTTCCGTGGCACATGAGATAGATGCCAGAAAACAGAATCTGCAGCTACAGGTATAAGTCAGGACTCGAGCATTGTTCACACATATGTAATATATGTTCCCATTACATATAAGTCCTTCACATTAACTTATTTTCTGCTCCATTCAAGAAATCAAGTAACAAGTTGTAAACAAGTAAAATATACATTGGTTTTAATAAATTTGTATACTTTAAGGTAACTCGGCATGCCTATAAAGATTTTAAAAAAATAAATCAATTAACAAATGTAAACAAGAAACATAATTTTCAGGAATGAAGCGTTATTAACATGTTACTACCGATTTTACATATTATGTGAACAGAAACTGAATTCATAACATTAAATGATCACCGGCCTTGGTCATTCCCTATTTTCAACATTAAACAATAAACCACTCTATAAACATAAAATACGACGTTCACCAATTAAGTCTT